GGGATAGCAACGTTGTTTGAATAAAAGCGGAGATCCCAAAAAGAAATCGGTTAATACGTTTGGAAAGAAACAAAAAATATTTCGTATGAAACAAAGAAAAAACTACTGGACTGTTATGTAATATCAGTCCTCCTATATAAATGATGAATAATCTCATCAGAGATGAAGAAAAAACTTGCGGCAATAGAAAGGTACTGAGATTACCATAGACTGAACATGTGAACACCGACGAAGTTCTACAGAAAACGGAAACAAAAAGAGCACTTATATTTGTATCAGGGAAAGACATTTGATATTTTTTGGGCACATAATGAGGAAAGAGGGCTTCAAAAATTTAACACACACAGGTCATATTAAAGGCAAGAGGGAAAGAGGAAAACAGTGCGTGACTTATGTAACAAACCTTTGTAAATGGTTGGCAGAACGGGGCTTAGGAGACATAGCAAAAAATACAAAGTTTACTAAGAGATACAAAAGGACGGGAAATTGTGGAGAGCCATGATCACACACATCATTAATGGACACGGCGCATAGAAGAAGAAGAGTGGTTTTGTTCTTTAGACATTTAAATAGTAAACAGTAAAAATAAGTGAAGATCGCCCCATTCGTCAAATGTGTGCGCATCAGAATTTAATGCATGCATAAAAATAAAGTCTGACTCATTGTTGGAAACAAAAGGCCGATGACCTTTCGTCATCTGCAGATTATTGATAAAGGCATAAAAGTCAAACGTATCTCGCTTTATGAAGTGCAATTAGTTAATGAGATTTACAAAGCGGAGCTTAGTATGGTTCAAGGTCAGAAGAGCAATTATTTAATGAAAAGTAAAACAATAAATAATGCCTTCAATCATCATAAAAATTATTTTCACTGCCGAAAGTAATATATGAACATTTTTGGCCAGTATATTTGGTCAGTTTTAATATTCTTAATCCCAAAGCAAATTTTCTTATTTAAGAAAGAATTTTTATTGCAGTGTATGTTTCGATCCGTAAAACTTTCGTTATATATTTTTTAAGAAGAAAAAGTGGTTAAATGAAGAAAAGAAAATTTGTATGTAGTTTCCTTTGGATTCATTTTCTTGTTTTTGTCTCTTATTCTTTCTCAACGTTTCGCCCGAGTACTTTAGGGTGTCTGCTGTGATGTTAAGATTGTTAAGAAATAAACCACAAAGAAGAAATTAGTTTGAAGCAAAAGACATAAAATCATTACACCAGCCTGCCTCATAAAATTCCGATAAGAATCAAAAGCGGAAAATTTGCGTTAACAACTTACCAAGACTTGCAAAAATTTTCACAAATTATTAACAGAAGAAAATATCAGATAACAATAATTCATCTAAAAAATAGGAAAAAATCCTAGACCCTCAAACAGAAATGTATACTAGAAGCACACACACATTAATGAAGCCTGAACCAGCATACGTCTTCTGTCAGATGTGGCTCATTTCATATCCGTCTCTCAGATGTGGCTCATTTCATATACGTCTGCCAGATGTGGTTCATTTCATAGCTGTTTGTCAGATATGGCTCATTTCATAGATTTCTGTCAGATGCGGCTCATTTCATATACGTCTGTCAGATATGGCTCATTTCATATCCGTCTGTCAGATGTAGCTCATTTCATAGCCGTCTGTCAGATATGGCTCATTACATAGGCGTTTGTCAGATATGGCTCATTTCATATACGTCTGTCAGATGTGGTTCATTTCATATCAGTCTGTCAGATGTGGCTCATCTCATAGCCGTTGGTCAGATATAGCTCATTTCATATCCATCAGTCAGATGTGTCCCATTTCATATCCGTCTGTCAGATATGGCTCATTACATAGGCGTCTGTCAGATGTGGCTGATTTCATAGCCATCTGTCAGATATGGCTGATTTCATATCCGCTTATCAAATGTCGCTCATTTCATAGCAATCTGTCAGACGAGACACATTTCAATAAGTATCTATTCATCTTCCTTTGCATATGCCAATTGCACATTCAAATTTTTTTACCTTTAAAAATTGGAAAAAAAATGTTCGTACTTTATTTCAACACACGTATATTTCATATCCGTTAGGCAAATGTGGTTCATTTTATAGCTGTTTGTCAGATATGGCTCATTTCATATCCGTCTGTCAGATATGGCTCATTTCCTATTCGTCTGTCAGATGTGGCTGATTTCATATACGTCTGTCAGATATGGCCCATTTCCTATTCGTCTGTCAGATGCGGCTCATCTCATAGCCGTTTGTCAGATATAGCTCATTTCATATCCCTCTGTCAGACATATACCATTTCATAGCCGTCTGTCAGATGTGTCCTATTTCATAGCCATCTCTCAGATATGGCTCATTATGTAGGCGTTTGTCAGATGTGGCTCATTTCATATTCGTCTGTCTGATATGGCTCATCTCATAGCCGTTTGTCAGATATGTCTCATTAAATATCCATCTGTCAGATGTGCCCCATTTCATAGCCGTTAGTCAGATATGGCTCATTACATTTCATATCCGCTTATGAAATGTCGCTCATATCATAGCAATCTTTCAGACGAGGCTCATTTCAATAATTATCTGCTTACTGATATCTATTCATTTTCCTTTGCATATGCCAATTGCACATTCACATTTAAAAAAAATTTTTACCTTTAAAAATTGGAAAAGAAATGGTCGTATTTTATTTCAGTGCACATACAGTTGATTTTAATTCTAAAGAATTGATTTTTATCGAGCTTCACTGGTCAAATAAATGAGTGAAATGTCTTGCCGGTCGGTTTGAGTTACAGAACTTGTCATTTTTGCTTATTCTCTTTCATATATTTTCTTCATATAATTATATTCATATTTGAATATTCTTCATATAATTATATTCATATTTGAATTATTTCTTTTTTGGTCTTCGACCAAAAAAGAAATAATTCAAAGAAATCCGATGTTTGTTAATTTAGAGTTTTGGAACGGGTGGGCCCGTAAAAATTTCCATCCCTCCTTGTATAAATGTGTTCCCTAATTTCTAGCGATTGCACCATCACTGTATTCATTTACATTCTTTTATCATTTTATTGACCGTACCCAATGAAAATATTTTCATAAATTTTATTCTTTTTGAGATGAGAAACTGAATTACCACAAGAAATGGAGATATTCCTATGAGGGTCATTTGAATAAACATTTGGGCCAATCAAGATTCCTTATTAGACTGTATTCTATTTAAATTACTCAATCATTCTATAAACTCTTACTCCTCCTCTGAAATTCTCTCATGATCATGCATTTCCTCTCTTTACAAATGATATAGTTTCCGTCGTTTTTTGCTTGCATCATTGATATCAACATTTTCTTTCTTTCTTTGTTCATATCTATCTATCTATCTATCTATCTATCTATCTATCTATCTATCTATCTATCTATCTATCTTATCCTGTTCATTATCTATCTATCTATCTATCTATCTATCTATCTATCTATCTATCTATCTATCTATCTATCTATCTATCTGTTTCAATACTAAATGCTTACTTTGTTTCTAGCCAACACTCGCTTTGCGAATCTCATATTTGTGTAATGGTCAACAAGCTGGTTTTGTAGATCATTAGTTGTGATCCCAATTCAGTGAGCCTATACATGTGGCTTTGTTTCTAACAAAGCTAAACATAGTAAACAATAAGGAAAAGCTAAGTGTTAGTTTTGTTACTCATTCTCTTTTTCAGCCACTATTTTCCAGTAGATCATCTATTTGGATATCGAGAAAAAGAAGCGAAAATAACATTTAATACGAAAATTATGGGAATAGTTGTGGCATTTTTGTCCGTTATGATGGGCTAAGAAATGAAAAAGAAAACGAAACCAGAAAAGCAAAATCAAATCAATATGGGAATGGATTGTAGAAGAGAGGACGACATACTTCATGTGGCAAAGCGAGCACGTATATGCCTGGCGTGCAAAACGAGCGAATGAAAGGAAAAGAAAAAGAAATATGGCCGCCCTTACACCTTATTTGAAGAAAGACACGGTCTCGGGGCTAGGAGAATTTGCGAGAGTGAGTGAGCGTATGCAATTTTTTTTTTTGCGGGATCAGCTTAGCATAAAAACTCTACGCGAGAGAGAATAGGGAGTTCGCTCGTGAACGCGGTGCTGATTATGCAGAAAGACTTTGTCAATTGGAAAGAGATTACTTGGGTCAGCTTTAACATGAATTATCAAATATTATTTCCAGAATAGACCGCCTGCTTCTCTCTCCTCCCCCGATTGTATCTCGTTAGACAAACTCAGATCTGCCTATTTTCCTCTCTTATTTTTTACACACTTCCCTCTTCTCAGCTGTTGCCTATATTCTTTACATCGTTTGTACCTTCCCTCTCGCTTCACCTACTCCCATCCATTCTTCTCACTGTTACCTTCTCTTGTCTCACCCAATAGTTTTTATTAAAACATTTTCTTTCTTTAACGCTTTCTACTTCTTTATTCGTTAACTTGTTTCGAATATCAGACAACAGACAGTGGTTGTCTGTGAGGTCCCGCATTGTTTTCTAGAGCGAGGTTAGTAAGCTACGATATTACTAATCTGGTTAAGACCAAACATTCCCTTTCAGAGCAATCACTTGTGCTTCCACAATTTGCATTTGGCGTGAGTATATTTTCGCCTGCACTCTGTGCCATGTTTGATGGATGTCAGCTATCTCCTGTTAATTTTCCCTCTGAAAGTTCTCCACTAGAACAGTCTACCCCAGTGAGCGAAATAAAGGGTTCAGTTCGACATTCCAAACTCCTGAAGAAGGCCGGAGCGTACAACGGCCGAAACATTGTGATAAATATGGCGACAAAGATGAGGACAATAGTCCGAATAATGTAAATAATATAGATTGTTTTATAGCTAATGTCAGTAGATGTTAAAGAAAATTAGAAATGAAGTGAATTTCCGCAAAATTTGCACTTCGTTAGCTTCTAGTAGATAAAAAAAAATAGTTTGAATGTATGCCATAATTTAAAGTTCGAAAAGATTCGGTTTCTTTCTAAAGTTTTGACCGAGAGAGATCTGAAAGAGAAAGCTTTATTAAAATGTGGAAAAAATACCGTGGATAAAATCCACACCGAAGAGTTCCAGAAATATTTCCATCAGGGGAAATAACTTTTGGACAGGAGCATTGAGTTAAATGGACAGAATTATGAAGACAGTGAAAAGAGTTTCAAATTGTAAAATATTTTCCTGTAGCTTCTCATGTTTTAGGCATCTATTTTCACTTCGAATAGAAGCAAAAAACTTGTAATGTTATTCACTAGATAAGACATGCAACTGAGGAAGTCCGGAGAGAAGATCGAAAAAATGTTGTTATAGGAATATGGCGGATAAGACTATCATTGAATGGGATAAAATTCACCTCGGAATTGTCTTGATGTTAAGGTCTCTATAATCAAATATGGCTTTTGATAGTTTATTGTAAATGTGTAAGCGAGCGAAAAGACTTATTTGCTCTATTGATTGTTTTGATCCTGTAAAATTTACGATACTTATAGATTCTAAGCATAAGATATTTCTATTCTAAATTGTCTTTCTTCCTCACGGTCACGAATTAGGGAAATCTTTCTTTCGTCTTTGACTTCTAACTCATTCCAGTTCTTATACTTATTCTTTCGAACAATAATTCTTTCCCTCTTTACATTGTTTCTTTTCTGTAGCTTCCTTTCACCCTGAAAGATTCTCTCCATCGCAAGCCTCTGAAAATAACCAGTACAAGAAAACACGATGGAATGGTAATGGCTTCAAAATCGTTTTCCAGTATCGTCCATCATTGTTGCTTTCAGAAGAGGAAAAAAAAAAAAGAAACGGAAAAAAACAGAAAAACGATGATAGTCCAACCGACGTAAATATAGAAACAAATTGGGAACTGACAAGCAGCTTTTTGCGCATGTTCTTCCAAATCCACTTCAGTAATTGGCTTCGAAACCTTTCGGCTTTCTCGGTTAGGCAATTTACTTTTCTTTTCGTTCTTTCTAAGATTTAATATTTTCTTCTTGCTTTTTAGCATTTAAATTTTTGATATAGAGAATTATTATCATTTTTTTCTTTCTTTATTTCTTTCTTTTCTTTCTTCCATTGATTATTTCTTTCTTTCTTTCTTTCTTTTTTTATTTTCATTTTCTTTTATACTTTGCTAATTTGTTTCGACAAATTCTTTATTATTTAAAAAAAAAATTTTTCTTGGATTTGGTTTCATGCACTTTTCTCGGGCTTATCAATTTTGTTTATCTTGGCAATTGGAAATCCGTTACAATCTTATTTAACAAGCAGTTATTCATTCTTATTAAGGTTAGCATAAGACCACAGTAAAGTGCAAACTAATTTATGTTGGAAGGTACATAGCCAGGCATGCAATCTTTTATGTTGGATATTACGGGTCTGTAAACAGAAAATCATGATATAAAATTCAGCACAGACCATTTCAGCCATCTCGTGTCAATATAGATTACTTTCAAGCTAATTCCAGGAAAACGTATTTTATTTATATACGTATACGCTCTACAATCGGTTTTGGCTAAGGTTTTCTCGACAAACGAGTAGTCATTCTAATGAAATTATTCCTACAAAAGTGTGTTTAAAATATCTATTTACTCTGGCAAATCATAAGTTGGTTCTGTAGAAAGAGTGACCTCTGCATATTCGCCTAGATTTAATTACATAAGCATGATGAGAAAATGCTGACATAATAGAGGCAACAGGAAAGGCTTCTTTTATCTCCCATCGGCTCCTGGTTAAAATCAAAGAAGCTCATACTTTGTTAGCCATTGTTATATATTCTAATACTAAACTCTTTTGTAATTATTGTTGTGTCCTCATTGTATATGGATTCAATAATCTTTATGTATTGTTTTCATTAATGCATTCTGTTGAGGGGTCCACCCCTTTTTATACTTGTACTACTGCCAGTGAATACCCGAGGAGTCGAATCGAGTCGAGTCCAGAGTGACAGAGTAAAAGGTTGTAGGTAACCGGAAGAGTGAGAGTGAGGTAACAGCGTTGTAGGAGTCACAGTGAGCGAGCACGTAGACTCTGTAAGAAGTCATACAGCGATACTTCAATACCTAAGTACTAAGTACTGACCTGGCTCTACGATGCTTAACATCGGTGATCGAACGAAAACCCTGGTGTTTTACCTCACAGTCGGTGGGTGGGTGTAAACGGTACCGCAGAGCTATGCCGCCCGGACTTCGTTCCTGGTAAGCCACCAAAGTCCAACAGGTCTGACCACACGCCGGCTAACAAGGGCTCTGGTGAAAATCCAAGGAGCGTCTGCATCGGTAACCGGCGGCTTCTGGTCGTTCCTGTTTCTGCGTCTGTGGGAACCCCGCGGCAAGCAAGAACGTTATCCGAGTAGGCCTGAGTACCCTACTTCTGTAATTTATCCCAAGAATCTTCTTCTCATAACAGGAAGAAGCCGGCTCAATCCGCCCAGGGTGAATGCCGCATCAGTACAGTCAGTACTTCAATACCAAAGATTGTATATATATTTTGCTACTAACCCGTATTCCTAGAACTACTAACCTGCTTTACCAGTTTGTATTATTACGTTAATACATTATTTTCTTATATTCATTTCTGGCGTTTGTTATTTATTGGTACCGGATTTCAACCAGGAATCTACAACACATTCCATACTGAGGTAAAAGCTTCTGAGTGTTCTACTGAACCCGGAATCCACAATAACTTAGCGACGAGGATATCGAACTCACACGGGAAGGACAAAAAAGACAAAATTCTCCCTCGTCAACTTGGCGACTAGGATATCGAACTCAAACGGGAAGAACAAACAACAAAATCCTCCCTCGTCCACAACAACTTGTCGATGAGGATATCGAACTCACACAGGAAGAACAAAAAAGACAAAATTCTCCCTCGTCAACTTGGCGACGAGGACTTCGAACTCACACGGAAGAAAAAAAAATTCTCTCTCGTCGACCACAACAACTTTGGCGACGAGGAAATTCGAACTCACACAGGAAGGTAAAAAGATAAATTCTCCTTTGCCGACCACAACGACTTGGTGTCGAGAGATTGGGACCTACACGGAAAGAAAAACTTTCTCTCTTCTCACCACGACAGCTTGGGCGACAAGAATTTGCATTTCTCGGAGACTCAAAAGAGAAAATTAACGTTTTGACACTATCCACAACAACTGGGTAACAAAGTGTTACGAGGATTAAAATACGGAAAATCGAGTTTTTTCGTAAGACTCTTACCATGAAGGATTTTAAAATTATTTTAGTAGAACTTGTTAAACACCAAAATGAACAGCAATTACATTTCCAAGAAAGAATGGAAAAAATATTACTACAAACGCAGAAGGAAAATCATGAAAGACAAATGCAAAATGAAGAAAGACAATTACAACTCCAGGAGCTAATTGTAAAAGTAGCGAGTAATACACAACAACAAAATATTGAAAAAGAGGCGACTTTTTCTCAAGACGCAGTATGGAACACGATAGAAACATTCAAATACTCCCTAGAAAAGGATAAAAATTTCGGGGACTTTTTCAAACGGCATGAAGACATCTTCAACATCGATTGTCAAAACTGGACAGAAGCAAAAAAGCTACGACTATTACTCAGAAAATTAGGAGCGGATGAATACACAAAATTCGTGGATTACATTTTGCCACAGAAGACAAATGATTTAATGTTTAATGAAGCAGTTACATGCCTGACGGAGCTTTTCAGTCCGAAAACGTCACTTTTTCACAAAAGGTGGAAATGTCTTAACCTTAAAGATGAAAATGAGGATTACTCCACGTTCACCGCAATCGTGAATAAAAATTGCGACGATTTCAAGTTGGCAGAATTAAGCCCAGACAATTTCAAGGGTTATTCTCAGCAAAAGATAGTGAAATGCGCAAAAGAATGCTTTCAAAACTGCAAAATGAACCTGGTTTAACACTACAAAAATTATCGGAAGACTGCCAAAAATGCCGGAGCATAAAGAAAGACTCGAAGGATATTGAGTTAGGAGTATCTCATATACGTAAGTTAAACAAAAGTTTACGTTGTTCACCCTCCCCGGAAAGAAAACGAAAATTCTATAATAATGAAAAAAGTACAACGTACAGGGAAAATAATGACGAAAATCAAAGTAAATATAAGCCCCCCCCCATCTGTATGTTATCGATGTGGAAGACTACACTGGAATAAGGATTGTCGTTTTAAATATAAAAACTGTCTTGCGTGTGGAAAAATGGGTCACAAGGCATCCCAATGTAGGAACAGAAAATTTACTAGTAGGATAAGTGCTACTAGGATGCATGACGAAAACACTACTAACATAAGGAAATATGTGGAATTTGAAATCTTAAATAAAAAGATAAAATTACAACTTGACACAGGTTCAGATCTGACGATAATTAACCTACAGACATGGAGAAAGCTTAATAGACCAACAATGTTACATACACAGAAAATTGCTAAGTCTGTTACAGGGAAGCGTATAAAATTCGAAGGGGAGGTAATCCTAAATGTAAAATTACACGGGAAAACAAAACTCAAAATATTCGTAATGAAGGATACAGAAAATCTGGTGCGCACAGACTGGATGCAGAAGTTCGACGTATGGGATTTACCTATCAGTTCTTTTTGTAAAAAGATAAAGTGCGAACCAGCAGAAGTTATAAAAATAAAGGAAGAATTATATAATCAATTTCCCGGGGTTGTTTCGAGCAGGTTGAGACGATGCAACAAGTTTGCAGCCAAAATTGAATTAAAAGAAAACATCCAACCAGTATTTAAAAAGAAACGGAACATAGAGAAAGTCGACAAAGAATTAAAGAGAGCTTTGAAAAAATAAGTAACAGGCTAGGAAACGTGATGTACACAATACAAGGGAAAAAATTTACCCACAGAAGACATATTGACGAAATACAAAAAAGACGGGTTTCACCCGCTGAAAATGACAATTCAATGGATGCAATCTTTGAAGCTTTTGAGATTCAAAGGCCACAGGAAGACAGAGAAACTAGAAGGTCAAACAGGAAGAGAAAATTTACCGAACATCTGATTATCGACCATAAGAGAAAAAAATACTACCCCACTCAAAAAAGGGATCTAAGGAGGGGGGTGTTGAGGGGTCCACCCCTTTTTATACAAATGGACTCACCCAGTGTATACTTGTACTACTACCAGTGAATACCCGAGAAGTCGAGTCGAGTCGAGTCCAGAATGACAGAGTAAAAGGTTGTAGGTAACCGGAACAGTGAGGGGTGAGGTAACAGCGTTGTAGGAGTCATAGTGAGCGAGCACGTAGACTCAGTAAGAAGTCATACAGTGATACTTCAATACCAAAGACTGTATATATATTTTGCTACTAACCCGTATTCATGGAACTACTAACCTGCTTTACCAGTTTGTATTATTACGTTAATACATTATTTTTATATATTCATTCCTGGCGTTTGTTATTTATTGGTACCGGATTTCAACCAGGAATCTAAAACACATTCCCTACTGAGGTAAAAGCTTCTGAGTGTTCTACTGAACCAAATCCTTTTCACAGTCAACTACAGAAAGTAATTTATTATTTTCTACTGCTTTTTTTTTTAAAGATCCGTTTGTCTATAGTTTGTAAATGGTATATTTGTTAGTATCTACTTGTGAAACGTTCCTGTTCGTGCGGTTGATTATCATCACAAGTTTTTAATACTGAAAACACATTCTTATTAACAATTTAACTGTATCGTCCATATTAAAAACAGGGAAGGCTTTCTCAAACTTTAACACAGATAATAACTTGTGGTCAACCATTCATAATGCAAAATGACCCCTGTTATAACTAGAAATCAGATTTCCTGGATATGCATGAAGTTGCATAAATGAGCAATCAAATATATGATAATGCAAATGAAAGCCATGAGGTGCTTTCATTACGATGGTTATACGAGTATAGAAAAATAATGTTATTTGTTGATATATTTAGTACAAGAATAAGCTTTTAATTTTTAAATGAAAAAGAAATTACGTTTATTCGTTCTCTTGCGATTCTCAACTAAGCTTTGAAATTATTTGCTGTCAGCGCACAGGTGTCTGTAACTATAAAGCTGGGCCAGCAATACGGTTAACCAAGTGGTTGAGGAAAATTACGTATTCCCATCTTTGTTAAAAGTTGAATTTCAAATTCAGATTTTCTAGGCAGGAAATAGACACTTCCCTTCTGGCAAGAATGACGTAATACAAACTTCCAACTTTATTTCAGCCATTTTGATTTGTATTGTACAAAAGCTAAGTTTCGTAAATATAAAGATGAATCTACGGTCAAGTTTTATACACAGGGAAAAAAAATCAGAGAAAGTGAAAAAGTAAAAGAAAGAAAGAAGATATACGAGAAGAAAGAGAGAGAGAGAGAGATGAAAAGAAAGAGAAGTAGATGATGAAAATATTAGAGAAAAAATAAAAAAATCAGAGAAAGTGAAAAAGTAAAAGGCAGAAAGAAGATATACAAGAAGAAAGAGAGATAGATAGATAGAGAGATAGAGAGAGAGAGAGAGAGAGATATGAAAAGAAAGAGAAGTAGATGGTGGAAGGGAAAATTGAGAATCTAAGACGAAAAGGCGAAATAGAAACATTTAAAATCTGTAGGAATAGAAGAAAAATATATGAAAAACTGAAGGAATTGAAAAATAAGTAGAGTGCAAAGGAATAGAAAAGCAAAGTGATAGAAAGAGATTATGAGGAAATGAGGATGAAAGATCAAATGGACTGTAGAAGAAGAAAAATAGGAAGAAAGAAGAAAAGAGAAAGATAACGAAGAGAAAGAATGCATAGAAGATGAAGGAAAAAAAAATGAAAGATAAAGAAGAGAAAAAGAAAAAAAAGGTATTAACAAAAAAGAAGAAACAGAAAGATAAGAAGGTTATATTATTTTTTTCTTGATGGTTTTGAAAATATCACAGGTCGATAGTGTGGGTAAATTTTTGCCGCATCTTCTTCCCTGTAGGATTTCTTTCTTGACAAACAAAGCAAAAGGCGAGGCGGACAACAGGAAAACCTGATGGACATCCTGTTTACATAGCAAATTTACTTTTTTTCTTCATGTTGCCCAGAGACACACAAAGGGAGATAATTTCATCGAACATTCCACTAAGTTGGGGAGAGAGGTAGAGAGAATAGCATTTCTTTATGAATATGCATCTGATTTGCAGCCTGTTCTGAATATTCTGCTTCTTGTAGTTTTTTGCTTGCTTAACATAGGAATACAAACATTATGAAACAATCAAATCCATTTCTATTATAAAATATTTTACATTTAATACAAAGTAAGCCCGTTAGCTGAGATAGATGTCTTTCCATCGGTCTCAGCCTACGTTAAATCAGGATTTGAAAGTTTTATTTTGGAGGCAGCGCATTTTTTTCTGCCTATAGTCCCTCATTTAATCTGATATCTAAAAAAGATAGCAAATATCTATATCTATGATAGACTGAAAACCTTAGACATACATCTTGAATGAGATACTTGTAATTTGCTTCTGGGGTCAGATGCCGACGTTCGAATCGATGTGAAAGCCAGGTTATTCAATTCTGTTGGATTTTCAAATGTAGACATACCATTTCCATTTGGGAGATTGGCGCAGCACACTCTTCTTAAATTCATTTTCCTCAGATTTTGTCATGCTATGCTGAGTTTATTTAATATCGAGAGAACGAAAACTAAATAAATATTTTTGATTTCTTAGCCCCCTACACAACTACTTTTAAAACATGCAGTGTATCACAAAATGCACCAAGATATCTATTTTCCCAGCTTTAAAATTTAAAACGACTACAGAGAATTAGCAGAGATGGCTAATTCACATATCAGGAATGGATTGGTTTTAATTTAGTTTGTCTCCAGATTTAGACGATGGAGGAATTTGTTGTGCTTCATTAAATTTAAAAGTTTACTTTGTTTGTGGTGGTTTGATTTGGGGAAAAAAACCTTTGTTTGCAAAACAGGGATTTTAAGTGCAAAAATTCTCTTTCGACTTGAAATAATTATCATTACACATGGACCATCTTTGTTGCTGTTATCAAAACGTTTCAGTCATTGTGCCCTCCGGCTTTCATCAGGATGCCAAATTACCTGATATTTCTATAAAGATGTAGCGACCTAAGGCTAGTTCCATTATATTTATCAGTCAAGACATCTGTTAGTTCCAGGAGAGTACAAAGAGTAGTGGAAATAACAGGGAAAAGATTCGCCATAATTTCTGGTCCTTTGCAGAGTATTTTATCTAAAAAATTCCGTTAGTTTCCATGTTACGCACCCGTAGTTTATTGTTGAAATAATACACATGACCATATTGGCAGGAGGATTTTATTTTATGTGTCTATTTTAAACTTTTCAGTCATTATACGCTATTTTATTACATTTCCTTGGTCTTTCTTTAAATAATCTTCTCAAGATTTTTGTAGAATATATTTTCGTGGCACACGCAGTAATTAATGTAGGTGAAATCGTATGTCCTTGTCTCACCCTATTTCTATTATTTTATCCGTCTCTTTTGTAATTATTGTTGTGCTCTCATTGTATATGGATTCAATAATCTTTACCTATTATTTTCATTAATGCATTCCGTACTGAGTTAAAAGCTTCTGAGTATTCTACTGTGCCAAATCCTTTTCATAATCAACAACAGTTAAAAAAAAGTGGTTTATTATTTTCTACCGCTTTTTAAAAGATCCATTTATCTATAGTTTGTAAATGGTATATTTGTTAGTGTCTATTTGTAAAACGTTCCTGTTCCTGCGGCTGATTTTCAACAAATTTTCTCTATGCTCAGTAGTTGACTGAATTTTTGTCTTGTGTGTTCATTTACTTCCCAGAAAAAACGCATAAAAAGAATGCCAATTCATTTGCCGACCAACCTGTTGTGTTATGTTGTGAAATAAGATGTTTGTTGTAATTTGATTTCTGAAGTTAGGGAACCAAAAGAAGACATTATTATTTCATTCAAATGCCTCATATAAATTTGCATGTGAAAACTGCCTCTTGTCGACAAGATTACAATAAGCATTGTTACATATCACATAATAGTTTACAATTCAAAAGAATGTTATTTTAATTCATTTAAGCTACACGAGAATTTCCGTCTCTCTATATATTATAGAGCCATTAATGGGAAATGAATATTTAAAAGCTTTGAAACGTGCTTACAATGTATAATCTGAACAGAATCTGCTTAGGTAATTTAAAAGCATTTTAAAATTCAACTTTTATGTAGTTGCGTATATCAATTCAAGAATATTTAATCTCTTCAAAAAAGGAGAGAACTTTGGTAAGAATCGAGTTATTTGCATAATTTACCATCGTTTGGTACATAAGAATAACTAAAATCACTCTATATAGCAATAGTCTACATGATAGAATTAATTATCATAAATTTACAACAGGCACATCTATCTATCTATCTATCTATCTATCTATCTATCTATCTATCTACATAGATGCTAATGCACTGGGAATACAGAAAAAAAGACAAATATATTTTTTCATTCAATTTTCATTTTCATTCAGTTTTCATATATATATATATATATATATATATATATATATATATGCCAGAACAGTGTTAGGAAAACTAATGACAAAGTGGAAAAATATTTCATATGAGGTATTTCGTCATTTAGAACTTCATCGGACTAAAGAGATATTTACGTTGATGTGCATAGTGGTGATATACCGGAGAGCCTAAATAGGTCAACTTTCGTAACACTACCTAAGAAGCCAGGTGCAAACGAATGTGAAGTCTATACTCGTAGCATACCACCTGCATACGGATAGAAAATGAGCTCTGTAAATATACAAATATAGAAAGGGGCGTATTTTTTTGCTCGACTTATTAAAACTATACAGTGAGAATTAGAAGTCCTATCAAGATTCATTTTTGGCGGCCACAATTTTAGCAACATAATTTATGCAGATGATACAGTGTCGATAACAGATACAAAAAGGAACCTACAAGAACTCCTATAGAAGGAAGTGAAGGAAAGTGAGAAGAAAGGACTAACCATCAGTTGCAAGAAATTAGAATGCATGGTTTTTATAAAATGGGACAACCAAACATGAACATAAAAACTTGAGGATACCGAAATGAAACAATTACAAAAATTTAAAAATCTGGAGGATGTTTTAACAGAGGACAGAAAGTGTGACATTGAAATCTAAAGGCGTATTGGGATAGCGATCGTTACCTTCCAAAAGCTAAGCAAAGTATTAGGTAACATAAAATTTTCGTTAGAAACAAAGAAAATAGTACTGAATTGTTATCTATTATCATTTCCTCTATATGGCAGTGATTGCTGGACAATGCTGTCACATATGAAGAAGAGACTTGAAGCAACAGGAACAAAGAAAAGAGTACTGAATTGTTATGTAATATCATTTCTTCTATATGGCAGTGATTGCTGGACAATGCTGTCACATATGAAGTAGAGACTTGAAGCAACAGGAACAAAGGAAAGAGTACTGAATTGTTATGTAATATCATTTCTTCTAGATGGCAGTGACTGCTGAACAATGCCGTCACATATGAAGTAGAGACTTGAAGCAACAGGAACAAAGAAAAGAGTACTGAATTGTTATGTAATATCATTTGTTCTATATGGCAGTGATTGCTGGACAATGCTGTCACATATGAAGAAGAGACTTGAAGCAACAGGAACAAAGAAAAGAGTACTGAATTGTTATGTAATATCATTTCTTCTATATGGCAGTGATTGCTGGACAATGCTGTCACATCTGAAGAAGAGACTTGAAGCAACAGGAACAAAGAAAAGAGTACTGAATTGTTATGTAATATCATTTGTTCTATATGGCAGTGATTGCTGGACAATGCTGTCACATCTGAAGAAGAGACTTGAAGCAACAGGAACAAAGAAAAGAGTACTGAATTGTTATGTAATATCATTTTCTTCCTATATGGCAGTGATTGCTGGACAATGCTGTCACATATGAAGAAGAGACTTGAAGCAACAGGAACAAAAGAAAAGAGTACTGAATTGTTATGTAATATCATTTGTTCTATATGGCAGTGATTGCTGGACAATGCTGTCACATATGAAGAAGAGACTTGAAGCAACAGGAACAAAGGAAAAAGAGTACTGAATTGTTATGTAATATCATTTTTTCTATATGGCAGTGATTGCTGGACAATGCTCCTCACATATGAAGAAGAGACTTGAAGCAACAGGAACAAAGAAAAGAGTACTGAATTGTTATGTAATATCATTTTGTTCTATATGGCAGTGATTGCTGGACAATGCTGTCATATATGAAGAAGAGACTTGAAATTGCAACAGGAACAAAGAAAAGAAAAAGAGTACTGAATTGTTATGTAATATCATTTGTTCTATATGGCAGTGATTGCTGGACAATGCTGTCACATATGAAGAAGAGACTTGAAGCAACAGGAACAAAGAAAAAGAGTACTGAATTGTTATGTAATATCATTTGTTCTATATGGCAGTGATTGCTGGACAATGCTGTCACATCTGAAGAAGAGACTTGAAGCAAAAGGAACAAAGAAAAGAGTACTGAATTGTTATGTAATATCATTTGTTCTATATGGCAGTGATTGCTGGACAATGCTGTCATATATGAAGAAGAGACTTGAAGCAACAGGAACAAAGAAAAGAGTACTGAATTGTTATGTAATATCATTTGTTCTATATGGCAGTGATTGCTGGACAATGCTGTCACATCTGAAGAAGAGACTTGAAGCAACAGGAACAAAGAAAAGAGTACTGAATTGTTATGTAATATCATTTCTTCTATATGGCAGTGATTGCTGGACAATGCTGTCACATATGAAGAAGAGACTTGAAGCAACAGGAACAAAGAAAAAAGTACTGAATTGTTATGTAATATCATTTGTTCTATATGGCAGTGATTGCAGGACAATGCTGTCACATCTGAAGAAAGACTTGAAGAAGAACAGGAACAAAGAAAAGAGTACTGAATTGTTATGTAATATCATTTGTTCTATATGGCAGTGATTGCTGGACAATGCTGTCACATATGAAGAAGAGACTTGAAGCAACAGGAACAAAGGAAAGAGTACTGAATTGTTATGTAATATCATTTGTTCTATATGGCAGT